CCAAGCCATAGCCTAGTACTGATTATAGGAATAAAGATGTGAAAGTCTTACACTGAATACTGTTGTTAGGTGCTGTTGAGTTGATTCTGACTCATAGCAACACCTTATGACACAGAACTGCCCCATAGTGTTTTCTGACTTTGTTATCTTTATGGTGTGACACTGTAGGCTAAGCACTGGACTGCAAGGTTGGTTTGAACCACAAGGTTGCCAGTTTAAACTCACCAGCTGCTCCTCGGAAACCCTATCCAGGGTCGCTATGAGTTGGAACCAAGACGATGGCACTTCACAACAACAACAATCTTTATGGGAGCAGACAGAGGTTTTTCTCCCATGGAGCCTCTTGGGTGGGATTAAACCGCCAGGTTTTCAGTTAGCAGCTGAGCACTTAACTGTTGCTCCACAATCGTTCCTTAAAGGGAATAGTAAAACACCGAATTCAACAACATTAAAAAAGAACCCGTCATGACTGGATAGTGTGTTTATCCTAGGAATTAAATTGATGAGCACATCATGTTGTTTGAGTGATAAACCCTACGCCACAACAGATGCTCACTTAACAGTCTGTAAGCTCCAAACTCTGCTGCTGGCGTTCTTTTACCTCTTACGATGTCTATTTTAAACCAACAGCCAGCAGTAAGGTTAATGGTGAAAGAGTAGGCTCTCCCTATTAAAACCAAACCCAAATAAAATATGTCCATTATTAATGACTTGGTATGGTGTTATGAAGAGCTCTGATAGCATAATCGTTAGGCATTGGGCTGCTGACTGCAAGGTCAGCAGTTTGAATCTATCAGGTGCTCCGTGGGAGAAAGATGAGGCTTTCTGCTTCCATAAAGATTTACTGCCCCAGAAACCCTATGCAGGATCTCTATGAATGGTACTGACTCAGCAGCATACCACCATCACCACCATGGTGCTGTAAGATTAGCACTGGACTGCTTACCTCAAAATTGGTGGTTCAAACCCACCAGCCACTCCTTGGAAACTCTATACAGATTCTCTGAGTCGGAACGGACTCAACGTCACCTAACAAAAACGATTATGACTAATAAAGGTGTTAAAATGAGACTGTCTAATACTGCCTAGGAGCCTCTGGGTGGTGCAGAGACTGCCATCCAGAAGGTTGGAGGTTCAAGTCCACTCAGGTGTCTTGGAAAAAAGGCCTGGCTATCTACTTCTGGTGCGGTGCTGTGGGTTAATGCACCGGACCGCAAAGCCATTTGAACTACAGTGTCAGTAGTTCAAGCTCACCAGCTGCTCCTTTGAAACCCTATACAGGGTCGCTATGGGTCGGAACCGACTCGATGGCACTTAACAACAACAACAACAATCTACTTCTGAGAAATCAGCCCTTGAAAACCCTGTGGAGCCTAGGTCTAGTCTGACACACATGTGCTCTTTTGCCTACGTTGGAGGGCCTTCAAAGATGCATTTCAAGTTCCTGGGGAAATTACAACAGCCAACTTCAGTGACACATCTAGGATGCACCTTAAGTTCATTAGGTTACAAAGAATGGCTTACAAAAGCAGTAGTTTGCAGGGAGTTTTGATTCTCAGTTTTTGTGGGTAGGGCTGTATCAAGAATCTTTTGTATCCCCAGAGGCTTCCCTAGGGCTCAGATGCCCTCACAGGGGGTGAGTCTGGGGATGTTGGGCTCGCCTGGACCTAATTGCGCATGCCTGTGTATTGTCTTTCAGTCTTGGATTGGTTCATTTTTAAAAACCATCATAAAATTAAACCAAACAAAAATCGTGCCCACGTCCCATGCACTTGTGAGACCCTGAGTTTAAACTGGCCTTGAGAAAGAAAGGCAAAAAAAAGGAATCTTTCAGAGGGCTTGTATAGTTTGAAAATATTCACTACTGTCTTTTTCTCCATTTTGAAAATGGCCATCCCATCTGTTTCTGATGCTAACTACAGGAAGGAAAGCGTGGCAATTTGGGCTGTTGAGCAGGAGTTAAAGAAAATAAACCCGTTGTTCAAAGGCAGGCGATGGTGTTCCCAAGGTGGGGGACTGGCCAAGGGAAACAAAAACTTTTTATTCTATGTCAGAAGCACAAATAAGAGAGAGTTTCCAAACGTTTGTGGAAAAATGCCATCATCTTTCAACTCCATTTCACTATGAACTTTTCGAAGCTCCCTCATAGAGTAAACAGACATATATAATGCATATATGTGAGATTTAAATTTTATTGGGGGGCAGATTTAGGAAAAATGGTTGAAAAGGCCCTTTGCTGTTTAGTCGTTTCCGGCTCATAGTGACTCTGTAGGGTTTCCGAGGAGCGGCTGGTGTGTTTGAACTGCTGACCTTGTGGTTAGCAGACCAGTACTGATCCTACAATGTCCTACCAGGTCTCCAAAAGACCCTTTAGGAGGGCAACAATGGAAAAAAAAAAAAAAAAAAGGTTGAGAAACACTGTTCAAAGCAAATGGGATCCAGTACTACATTTATGACTGTTTTTGAAGGGAGGAAAGTTGTAGTAAGGAAAGAAACAAAAATTTTTGTTTGAAACCAGTTGTAGTTGAGTTGTGCTCTAGAGAGAAAACACTCACTCTGTAAAAGTAAAATTCAAAGATTTATTGACAGTCCAGAGACAGTCTCAACTGGGAAGCCATCTGAATTCACAGACTGAAGATGGCCACTGCCGGACAAGAAAGATGCCAGCATTCTTATACAGTTGAAACAGGAACGAAAGCTACAAAATCATGATTGGCTGAAAGCCAATTATGGGACTTGAAGGTGGGATATCTGAGAGCGAGGACTGGTGGATAACACATATGTGGAATTAGATAATTGGTTATCAAAACCCCAAACCAAACCTATTGCCATTAAGTTGCTTCTGACCCATAAGGACCCTATGAAACAGAACGGAACTGCTCCTTCGGGCTGTCATGGGTGTAATCTTTGTGGACGCAGACAGCCTCATCTTGCTCCCGAGGAGTGATTGGTGGGTTTGAACTGCTGACATTTGGTTAGCAACCCAACACTTAACCCTCAGCACTACCATGAGTTGCATGATTGGTTGTTGTTGTCAAGTGCTATTGAGTCTATTCCATCTCATAGTGACCCTGTATAGGGTTTTGTAGCAGCTGGTAGGTTTGAACGGCTGCCCTTGCGATTCGAAGTCCAGTGGTGAGCCTACAGTGACATACCAAGAGTCCATACCTGGTTGGTTAAGAGTAAATAATTGCTAATATTCTTATTCTTCAGCTAACTACCGGACAGTTATAGGACAATGGCAGGACAAGTTTTTCTGGACTGCAAAGTCAATTTGAACTGCAAGGTTGGTGGCTCAAGCTTATCAGCTGCTCCTCGGAAACCCTATACAGGGTTGTTATGTGTCCAGACCTACTCGACGACACTTCACAACAACAGCTATTAAAATGGTTTTCTCAAGCATGTCTGTTCCTATGGGTCCATTGTAAAGATTGACTCTTTGTGCATAGGTTCTCAAATCCTGCATCTGTTTGACCATAGAAGAAAAAAGAAAAAAGAGTCCTTGGGAATAGATTGTGACATCTTGCATCTGTTAGATCACAGAGAAAGAAACTGCTGTTAGAAAGTTGTTGTTAAGTGCTGTCGAGTTGCTTCCGACCCGTAGCGACCCTATATAGGGTTTCCGAGGAACGGCTGGTGAGCTTGAATTGCCAACTGCGCAGTTCAAACTGACCTTGCAGTCCAGCACATTAATCTGCAGCACCTCACCAGGATGCTGCTATTTTAGAAAAGGCAACTTTAGAATCCAACCTGGATTCTGGACTCAAGTTAAGATTTTAAGATGGAGTTAAGGCTGCACTTTAAGATTGCTCTACACACACAAAGTAACTCTGAATTCTAGACTCTCACATAGCTGATTCAGACTCATGGAGACCCTGTGAGTGTCAGAGTAGAATTGTCCTCCATAAGATTTTCAATGGTTGATTTTTGGGTGAGTAATTTTTTTTGAGTAGGTTCTCAGGGCTTTCTTCTGAAGTGCCTCTGGGTGGATTTGATCGTCCAACCTTTCCACTAGCAGCCGAACGCTTTAACCATTTGTACCACCCAGGACTTCCCTGGTTAGGATAAAGGGAAAATAAGAATTGGGCTTTCAGGCATTTTAGTGATGGTTTATTTGGACCAGCTTGAGCACATTAGTAACTTGGACTCACTTGAACTTTAATATGTAACTCTATCAGGTACGGGGTCAAAGAAATTTACCCTCCCTTCCCATCCTGCACCTCTCAGAACTGGACTCAACAATGAAACTTGGAAATTAGCTATTTTCTCAGGAAGAAATCCCAGCAGCACAAGATAGCTGAGCTGGAGGACCCATCTGTCTTCCTTGTCACTTTTTACTTCACTTATCACCTACCCAACCGATTCCCTGAGGGGCTAGACTGGTAGACCAGCCTGAGGGACACCCCCTTCCCCCCCCCCCCCGACTTTGGTAGTGGAGTGTAAGACCCTAATTCTTGGACCTTTATTCCTATGTGGGTCATTTGTTCAAAAAGCACTACTTGTGCTGGGAGCTGATTTTACAGACAAGTGTCTATTTTTTGAAGTGTTTTTCACTAGCTTTTGAATAGCGTGAAATAAGAGTTGAAATTTGAAATGATGAGAGCATCGAGTAGGAGGTGAGGGGAGCAAGGAACAGGGTTATTCTGGTAAAAGTGTCGGGTGCAGGAGTGGGTTTGGCACTTCAGCACTCTTTCCATGCCTCTGCTAGAATTCTGGTAGTTTTGGACACGATCATGGAATATTCTGGGCTTTGGTGTTTTGTTTTGTTTTCATCTTATAAAAGCACATGAATTGGACTAAGGTGACACTGAAACCTATTAAGCTATGAGAGTTAGTATTGACAAAATGAGCCATGTCTGAGAAGGTGTTTATTAACAGTACTTGATGTTACAGCCAGACCATTATAATTGTACGGAAGTAAAGTAGGACTACCAGGGAGGGTGGGGCCACTTCCGAGGCTGGCTTCCTTCCGTGCTCAGGCTACTGTTGCGTTTTCGTCTTCACTGGGATATCTTTTTTACTAACACTTGGAATTCTTCAAAACTCACTTCTCCATCTCCATTCTTATCCAGTTCTTGAAAGAGTTCATCTAGGGTGCTTGGACCCTAGTTTTAGACAAAAAAGATGGGATGAGGAGAGGAGAGAAAATGAATCAGTTAGTACTGTCAAAGAGAGAGTGATGGCAGATAATTTTGATTTGATTTTGGGGTTTTCTTACTCACAAAACCAAGTGGTCACTCTAATGAGATTCTTGACCAAAATTAATCCTGCCAGCAGTTTTAATTTCAACTGAAGTTGCAAATCCTTTTTTTCTTCTTCTATTTTTTGGAAGAGCATTGTAGGAAATGCACAAAATATGGAAAAATTTACCAATCTTACCTTTCAGAACAACTTATTCGAGTAAATCACCTACATTTTCTTAGTAGATTATTATTTTTCTTAAATTGGTTACTTACTAATAATTGATTTAAAAATAGTGAACCCATATTGTTGTTATTGTTAAGGGCTGTCAAGTCTGGTCTGACTTGTAGTGACCCTGTTGTAGGGTTTCTGAGGAGCAACTGATGACTTTGAACTGCCAACCTTGCTGTTCAAACTGACTTTGTGGTCCAGTGCTTATCCTACAGCACCACATATTAGATTATTATTATTTTAAATAATAATGCTATTTTTAATGTAATATTTCTCAAAAAAACTTTGTGTTTCTATTTTAAATCAATAAGTATATTATTCTTCCAGCTCTTTTAAATGATCTCAAGTGATTTCTGTTGCAACTATAACAAAATGAGAAGCTATCAAATTAACCAGGAGTCCTGGTACCATAATGAGTTATGTGTTGGGCTGCTAACCATCGGATCAGCAGTTTGACTTCACCGTGTGTGGGCTGTTAACCACCAGATCAGCACTTTGAATCCATGGGAGAAATATGAGGCTTTCTACTCCCCTAAATATTTACAGCCTTAGAAACCCTATATGGGGTTGCTATGAGTCGGAACAGACTCGATGGCACGCGGCAGCAGATTATAAAATCACTGAATTCAGAAGCTTTGCTTTTTAGTGTTAAAAACAGAAGGCTTCTCGACTGTCATGTTGGCAGAAAGGACATTGCTGGTTAAATTCTGGAAAACACGGACACTTGAAGCAAATGCTTTCATTGGGAGTTAGAGCACAGCAGTGTTAGAGGCAGATGTAACAATTGCCCAGACGCTCACATTATGAAGATGCTTTGTTGTCATAAAAGAAAGAAAATATACCAGAGCAGAGAGGATCCACTTTTAGTCCTTTCCTGAAAGTTGGTTAGCAATGCATAGCTGTCTTATTAACAAAAATTTCAGTGCTTATTACAAATGAACACACATTGAGATAAATCTGAAATAAGTGGGGGCCCACAAAGGACAATGAATCCAAGTGATTGCTGGTCTTGTGGACGGATCTCACCTATAGAAATGAAGTGGGCCTCAGGCGAAACCGACTAATATTCTGCAGTTCCCTAATGCTTGGCACAGAGGGCTCGATCCAGAGGGCTGGATCCAAGCTGAAGACTTTAATAGCTGACTTGATGTCTTGTAGGTCTCCTGGCATGGCTTGGTCAGTGTACTGATGACTTCTATTCAATATAGCTACCTATATTGTGCAGTCACTGGGGGAGGCGTGGCAGGTTGGCCTGGGAAACGTAACCTGACACAGACACAGCTCATTTTATTGCGCTTTGCCCTATTGTGCTTGGCAGATATGGCCTTTTCTTAAAAAAAAAAAAAAACAAATTGAGGTTTGTGACAACCCTTCTTTGAGCAAGTGTACCGACATATCTTTCCAACAGTTTGTGCTTACTTGGTGTCTTATGTTGGCCATTTGTCAGGCTTTTTTCGCCATGCTGTTTTTTGCACACTGATGTGCTATATGATAAGTACTGAACTGATAACCCACCAGCGGCTCCTCAGAAGCTCTACAGGGTCACTATGAGTGGGAACTGACTCAACAACACCAATAATAATAGCATGGTATAGACCTAACTTTTATATTTACTGGCAACCTCCCCCACCCCAACGTATGTGACTCATTTTATTGTGATATTCGCTTTGTTGTGTTGGCCTGGACGTGAATCCACAATATCTCTGAGGGCTGCCTGGACACATTAAAGTGTCCTCCCTTAAGCAATACCCCCAGCTGTGGTTCGTTCAGCCCCAGTTGAAGCCCTGTGTAGTAGTACCACAGCTGTTTGCCTGCTGTCCTTGCCCCCACTCTCACCCACATCAGAGGTCTGGTGAAGTACACTCTGCGCTCACTTTAGAGTACCTGATGGTGCAGTTAATGACCTTTCTGCTGACTGAAAGGTTAGAGGTTCAAGTACACACTGAGGCACCTTGGAAGAAGGGCACCTAGGAAGAAAGGCCTGGTGATCAACAGCTGAAAACTCAGCCACTGAAAACCCTATGGAGCACAGTGCTACTCGGACACACAGTCAGATTGACTCAAGGGCAACTGGTTTGATTTGTTTTTTTTTGGGGGGGGGCACTCACTTTGAGTAAATTTGGGAATTCCGCCTGAATCAGTAGTTTTAGCTCAGCCTTCGACAGCTGGTTTGTATCGCCTTCTTTGGCTGCATACTTTTCAAAAATGCTCTTCAGTTCTGCAGGAGACTTCTTCATACTCATTTTGGTGTCCTGTAAATACAGAAATAAAATGAATTTACCTAAAAGTTGAAATAGAGTTTCATATTGAGGATGATCAGCAGGCTTTTAGTGCCATTGGCTGTTTCCTTGGCAAAGGTGGGGAGACTAAAAAAAAAAAAAAAAAAGAGGGAGGAACTCAGGGTCTGGTGGTGGTGACTGTGTGCCGTGGAGTCAGTTCTTCTGACGCATAGCGACGCTGCATAGCATTTCTGAGCCTGTACATCTTTACAGGAACAAAGCCTCATCTTTCTCTCACGTAACAGCTGGTAGTTTCGAACTAGCTGGACCTTGAGGTTAGCAGCCTGACTCGCTACCAGAGCTCCTAGAGACTCATGGAGGGTGACCAATTTTTTTCACAGTTTTAATTTGGAAATGTTAAACTTAAAAAAAACACACCAGAAAACCAAACCAGTGATAAAGCTTATACAGAGAGTTCACCCAACTTTCCCTAATGCTAATAACATCTAACCAGAGTACCCCAAACCCACTGCCATCGAGTCGGTTCTGACTCATAGCGACCTTGTGTAGGGTTTCTGAGACTTGTCAATCTCTATGGGAGCAGAAGGCCTCCTCTTTCTCCCGAACCAGAGTACAGCCATCAAAATGATAAAAGTCAGGAAATTAACATGGTAACAAAATTGTTAAACTACAGGCCTTAGATGAATGTCACCAGTTTTTCCATTTATATCCTTTTGCTGTTAACTTGTTTTAAAAATAATCATCTTCGAGAGTACGCTGAATGTCTGTTCATAGAGTACATCTGTTAGGAGATAGTCCCTGGAGCCAAACATTTTCATTAGTAATTAGTGGCATTCACTTGGTGTGCACCTGGTTTGAATTCTGGAAACTGTGGTTTTGAAGAACACCTGACCTCAGCTTCTAGTCTCTAAACTAGTGGTAATATGTTTAGATGGCACAAACTCACTTTCACCGTTCTAAAAAGCAGCACTGTGTTAATGCAAGCAGGAATTCTAAGTAGTATAAAAGCACACTTACCTGGCTGCCCAACAGGGAAACAGCTAGAAGAAGCAAAGAGGAGTGTGAAGAGCTAAGCAGGATCAGGTGACTTTTATAGTCTTTATTGACACGCCACCCCGCTGACGAAACTTTCCTTTTGCTTGCTATTTCAGGGTAATTATTAATGGTTTTTGAAATCCACGCTTAAGTTTAGAAGATAATTTCTAATTAAGGGCAAGAACCAATAAAGGGCCACTTCAATCACTGCTTAATGGCTCAAAATCCCAAGTCAGCTAGAATTTTTTTCCCCCTTAGATTGTATTTGCCCTCCAGTGTGGGAAAATAGTTGTGCACAGTTCACATTTCAGAACGTTTAAGTATGGAGGATTTTTTCCCCCCCAAATCTAGGTGCATATGTATGCTTGAAAAAAATAACTTTCTTCATATATACAAAACTAAATGTTATAATAGAAGGACAAAACCCCATTGCATTGCAGAATTGTAGCATGGCCATTGAGGTCTTGTACCCAGTAGTTGCTAGTTGTCCTTGAGTTGGTTCCCACTCATGGCTACTTGATACATAATAAAAGTGCATGTTGCCTGGCCCGGCAAAACCATTGTTGGCTTGTTTGAATCCATTGTTGCTACTGTGTCAACCCATCTCATTGACAGTTTCCCTCGTTTTCACTGACCCTCTCTCTCTCTAGTTTATCAAACATCATGTCCATTTCTGGTGATTACTCCTTCTTGATGATGTGTCCAAAGTAAGCAAGCCAAGGTCTTGCCATGCTCACTTCTAAAGAGCATTCTGGTTGCAATACTTCTAAGACAGATTTGTAAGCACTTAGATATTTGGCTGAACAAATGAATGAATAGAATGAAATGCATAGAATGCAGCAGGTTTAAAGACATTAAATTGATGTAATTTAAAGCAGCAGGTTTAAAGACAGAAGGGCGGTTTTGTTTGATGAAGCAAGAGTACTCCTCCTTACTACATCCTTGACGCCTGGTGTGGCGTTGTAGGTTCAGCACTGGACTGCGAACCACAAGGTCGGCAGTTCAAACCTATCAGCGGCTCCTTGGTAACCCTTTACAGGGTCGCTGTGAATTGGAATCAACTCAATGGCACTAAACAACAACAACAACTTCCTTACCAAATAGTTATTCTAAAAATGTGTTGAAAATAATAGACTCGACTCACTCAAATTCAGGTGGAAATACTTTCAACTTTTTGGAATTGGCAGAATTTAACATTGGAGACTCAATTTAATCCCATTGGAAAGAATTCCATGAAACAACTAGGACATTTCCAAGGAACATTTGCTCTAATACTGACTGTACCCCCTAAGAAGGGATTCCGGATCAAGTTTAAAAGGAATTCACAGCTTTTATTTCTCCATATACTTCTACACCTGCATAATTTTCTTTGAGTATTGGGAACCAAAAATATCCAGAAGGGGCAATAGCAGGGCTTTAGGGTGGATGGGATAAGGTTTCCCAATGAAATTCTCATAGGATAGCCCTTGCTTACCCTCAAAGAATGAGCAAGTACATTGTCATGATGGGGGAAAAAAAATCACTCAGTGCAACTTTCTTGGTCTTTTTTTTAGTGTTTTATTGTGAATTATATGATAGTTTACATGGGAGAACATTAGTTTTACATTCATTCTATCGTACATCCTATCATTGCCATGGTTATAATCCCCTCCATGCATCATCAACCAACCAAAGGGTATATCCCCCAGTCTAGTCGCTCTCCCTCTCTGGATCTAAAGCCCCCAGCTGCTCCATCTCTCCACGTCATTGTCTCTGCCTCCATCTCAGGCACCACTGTTTCTCTGGGTAGGGTCCCGCTCTCGGCTCTTCTCCGTTGATGGTCCTAGGGACCTCTGCTCCTAGACTGAAAAGTTAATCACTTCCTTCCTTGCTATAAAATGTCAACTTTTATTTACATTTACAACCTTCACAATCAGTCCTTCTTGGTCTTTTTCTCAGCAACACAGTTTTCCATTTTCTTAAAAGTTATTCCTGATAAGCTCCCGTGACCATCCTATGCCCTTTGAGACAATCTGCCATCCCTTTGGAATCCCTAAAAACAGTTGCCATAACCGTCTGAGCTGACCTCTCTGAGGAGAGGCGGGTGAGTTTGAACTGCCAACCTTGTGGTTCAAACCGACCTTTTAAAAGGTCCAGTGCTTATCGTTGGTGGAGAATGGAATTGAGAGAAAATGGAATTTTTCAATGACGCCTCCTCATATGCGACATCTGTGTGTGTATATATGTGTATGTATCAGCCATCTCCATATATTTGTAGGTAATGTTACACGAGACTGTCCGGTTTCCCGGTGCAGCCTTACCCCTGGTGCTTCAGAGCCTATGATTAAAGAGAACAGTAGGAGAGAGAGAGATGCAATATTTCCCTGACAGCAAGTAGCACTGGGCCTGTTTTAATCAGTGGTCATCTCCTGAAATGAGATCGGTGCTCTAAGAGTCTATTAACAGATTTCTTCCATTCTTCTTAGAGACAGTGAAACTTCCTCACTGCCCTCCGTCACATTTAACAAGGGTTAAATCTCAGTGAGAAGCATGGAACCCCACCAGTAGATAGATATTCTCAGGAAACATTAACCCACACTTATACGGAGACAAACGATAAATGTAGGGTGTGTTCAGAAGAGTGCATTTTGAAACCAGGGAAGCGGGGTAAATGAGAGGAATAGGCTAGTAATGGAAAAACCGGAGAGGCAAAGGTGATTTATTACCTCGCTGTTCAACTGCTTGATCTTTGGACAGACTTAGATTTTTTCCGAGAAAACCCGAGACTTGTTTATTTTAAGACCTAGGTACCAGACTGTCCAGGGGTGCCCCATCCCTGGGAAATGCTCTCTGGTGTTCTTGTTATCTGTGACCACAAAATTAGAAAATGCAGCTAAAACAGAGCACCTTTACCTAGTGAGTCTTGGGTAGGAATCTGAGCTGGGCTCGTTTTCTCTTCTACCTTTAATCCTTGACTGGGAGTCACCTGATGGTACAAACAAGTAATACATCTGCAGGGTTAGAGGTTCGAGTCCATCTCGGAAGAAAGACCTTGGATACTTACTGACTTTTGAAAAATCAGCCATTGAAAACGTATGGAGCACAATTCCACTGTGATACACGTGGGGTATCCATGAGTCGGAGCCAAGTCAACAGCACCCGATAAACCCATGTTTGGGTTCTGAGGGCCATCCTTTTCAGGCTTGCCTTGCTCTCCCTAAGCACTTGGTTCCCAGAAGCCTCCGAGTCATAGTTCATCCCTTTGGAGGTCTTGTTTTTACTGTGAGCTGCACTTTTCTAAGCTCCTGACACATTTAACCCATGGAGTCTCTGCACCAGCACTGTGAGGTAGGCTCTGTGGAGGAAGAGTTCAAGAACCTGTCTAGGCCACATGGCTGGACAGTGCCGTCAGGCCCCCCTTATCAGCTTCTAGCTCCTCTGACTCAAGGATGTCGTGTCTCTCCTTTTTTTTCTGTGGTGCTCCAGAGATGAACCAGTGTTCTCTGAGGTTCAATCTACCACGTGTCAGTTTTGTTAGGATTTTAGTTTGGCCAGTTGCCCCAGTTGTTGAACTAGTGTCTTATTTCCAGGATTTACTTATTTTTAAAAAAATAAGTAAAACCTCAAGTGGTTTTTTACAAACTTAAGTCAAAATTTTCCTCATCCTAGAGCTATTGCTTCTCATGAGTGACTGTATTGGAAAAGTCTTGTGATTCTTGATAGCTGAAAGCGATGCAGAAGTGTCTAGCTTTTGGCAACAAGGAAGAAAAACTTTAACTTGAATAACGTTTTGCGATGATTTCAGACCTTGTTTTAGTCCATCCTGCCAACCCTGCGGGATTGCTTCCTTGCCATGAATGTGTGTGTGTGTGTGTACTGAATGTACACGTTTTCAACCCTGAGGTACTTGGCTTGCATTCTGTCTTCACTTGTCCCCGAATCCAATGCATGAAATAGGGCCACCTGCAAATGAAGAGATTAGCACTGTA